CTCGGGATTGGGTGAACTGCATAGACCGGTTTGGCCGGCAGTCTGAATGGTACGGCAATACAGCCGTAGGGCCCGATTAGTTGACTCCCTGTATGCCGGACCCAGACTGGATGTGCATCTGTCGTACACATCCCCCCCATATCCCGTCCACACACGCCCCCACCTTGCATGATGTGATCCAGTCTGACCCAGCACCATGACCGCCGCCGCCGTATCCCCCCTCCACAGCCCGAAGCCGTAACAGCCATATCAGTCATACAGCATTGAGCAAAACGCCCGCTCTGGCCAGAGCTCAGCCGCCATCCCGCGTGTCGTGATGCCCAACTATGTTTTCCCGCCAGCTGTACGACAGCTGTACATGTTGTTGTCCGTCTTGCCTGGCCATCCTGCTGACCACCTTCTGTGTCCCTTCCTTGTCCCTCTCCCTTTCCCCATGATGTGGCTACTTCATAGGCGTGGTTGGACGGGGCATGTTGCCCTCGGGACGCGCGAGGGACTCGTTGCTGGGCCTGGACGTGCCTCAGAATGCTGAAGGTGAAGGCAAGTGGGTGATTGGGTATAAATAAGATCGTGCGTAGAAAAGGTCGGCGGGTTATTTTGTGGTTTGGGAAAGGGTTGGGTCGTCCGTGCGGGTGTGTGAGCATCGAGCAATCATGGTTGGCAGACGGCGGCATCAGTAGCAGCAGCAGCAGTAGCATCAGCAACCGCGGCAGCGCACCAAAGGGTGTATTTCCAGTGCGGATTAAGGCCAGGGATTAGGGCACGGAAGTCCTTGGTACGAGCTTACAACATAGTTTCCTTTCATAAGGGAACCAAAGGTTGGAAAGGCGAGGTAAGTTTGCCAACAACCTAGCCGTTTGAGCAAGTATCGATGGAGGACAGAGGGTTAATCCGCGACGTTAATCCGCACTGGGATTACACCCAAAGACTTTAGGAAAGGCAACCGCCGTGGGCGCACAGCGGCCGTGAGCGCACAGCGCGCACCTGCAGGCTTTGCGACTGTGGGGCAGTTGAAGACGAGATGCATGCTCGTGTGGAATGCCCGGCGTACACTACTACGCGGGCTAAGTACGAACGTGACCTCGCGTTTCAAGGGCGCGACATGCGCATGATTATGACCGAGGCCCCACTCCTGGCACTAGCCAGGTTCCTCTCGGAAGTCTGGGAGACCCGGCACGTTGCTCTAAGGCGCTTCGTGCTCAAGCGGACGAGGGAGGACGATGATGGTCCACCGTGTAACCGCACTAAAAACGATTTACCGTCCATGGGGCCCCCGGCTTTTGCAGACACCCCCGCACAAGTGCTTGTGCGGAACTTGCAAACTAGTAAACTGCAGGAAAGGTTTTTAGTGTGCAGCGAACCTCGGTTATTTTTGATAATCTCACTTTCAGAGCTGCTGGCCGCCTGCTAAACATGGTACTGCTCGGTTTTGGTATGTGCTCGTGCGCACACCCTTGGTTTTACTTTGCAATTCGTAATCAACTTCCCGTCCCCGCCTTGCTTTCTTTCCCTTGGCGAGCATCGCTCGCCTCTTCGATATGACCCGATCATTGGCAGGTCCCATGCTTGACGTGTCCAAACACACGCGCTCTCTCTGCTTGCTTCTCATTATTCCGCCCGCATGAACCTGGGGCTGCAACGTGAGCGGTCCTGCTGCTACCGCTGCGCCTCCTGGAGGTGAGCACGCTTGAGGGTTGCGACTTCTGGCACGTGCGTCCGGGCAAATATTGGCCAGCAGAAGGGCCGGTGTCGAACATGGATGCAACGGTAGTACCACCTACGTATCGGGCAGTCCTGACTCATGGATTTGGCGCAGCAGCGGCAACACACGTTGCCGCAATGACACTCCTGCTTTGTGTGTATGTCATTCTACGGATTGCCGCATCACGAGAAGGCTAACTGTTCAGTCAATAATGATTATGCTATGGCGGCTGCGCACTTGCGACGATCCAGACAGGTCTACACGGTGTAGACCTGCACTTGCGACGGCGGTGTAGACTACACCGCCGTCGCAAGTCTGCCGACCTTTACTGATTGAGGATTTCAATAACAAGTGTATACTCCAAACGTGGCGGCGTTCTTGTGCTTGCACTCCTATGCCGTACGGACTGCCCTGCGAATCAAACGGGGGTCAAATGGCTGCACCGGGGCCTAGCCCCTTTTCGGCTTTGAAAAGCCGCCCCCCTGTAATGTTGAACCTCTTGGAATTTTCCTGGTACGTTCCAGATTGGCGGGGAAGCAGTAGACCTTTTGTGGGTGTCAGGCATTGGCCATTTCTTCCGTCTGCAGGAAAAATGGTTTCCAACACTGTGCACCTATGCAACCTGCTGTCACGTAACCTAAGCTGAGTATGCATCAGCACCTGATGTGCAACCTCTAGTCGCTGCACCTATCGGAGCCCGTATTGCCCCATACACATTCACATACATCCCCCAGCAGCCTGTCCCAGGGTGATGTCGCATGTTTGCTGTATACTTACATATATTACCCACACGGGAGGGGTCTGCAAATCCCAGCCCCGTGTATGTATTGCCCTTGCGGAGCTGCTCCCGTGATGATTGATTCAGATCACACAGTCACTACAGCTAGCTGGCGAGTATGTCCAGATGGCGCAATCCTATTACGGTTATTGACCATGTGGAATGGAAAGTGAGCGAGTCCCATAGCTTATCACAGCATCGGAGTTCACACTGCGCCTGCTGTTGGTCAATCCCAGTTGGTATCATGACGTTACATGATTGGCTCGCAACAACCACGAGCGACATGGACCATATCCCTGATATCCATACCAGTGCTTGCTTGCTAATGCTAACCCTTACCTTCAACGTGGCTTAATTAAGTAACAACAGAGCTAAGCACACAGGAGTTCGCGGTCGTTTTGAGCCGTTTGCCTCCCCCGGTGTTCACCTTCCCAGCCACACACACGCACACACCAAGCAGAAGTCCGCATAGCATGCTGTATATGCGCCTGTGAGATCTTATGTGTAGCAGCCGGTACACAGTACGGTGCTATAAATACGCGCAGAGCGCGACCTCCAGCAACTCGAGAGACCTTTTCAGCGGTCGGCTGCTACATTTGGTATCGAGACCTCGTGAAAATTCACGATCCTGAAGTCGTCGGTTCAACCCCCACCGATCACGTTCGAGTGGTATTCGGGTGTGGCGACTCAGAGAGCGAATATCGCACAAATCATAAAAGTAGCTGAACCGACTGGACTGTCTCTGTGCCTGAAAAATCTGAAGACGGCTAGGCGCATGTGAGCCGGCACATGACGTGACGTGGAGTAATTACCCACTGCCCGAGGGTAGGAAAAGGTAGGCACAGGCTGGTGGTATACGAGGCTCTAAGGGCCCGAGACGGTTCCCTTCAAAGGGGGGGGAATGTAGCAGCCGGTACACAGTAAGGTGCTATAAATACGCGCAGAGCACGACCACCAGCAACTCGAGAGACCTTTTCAGCGGTCGGCTGCTACATTATGGTATGAAGATGCTGTGCTGACTAATCCTACCTCGCTGTCCATGCACGCCACAGCATGTCAGGGCATCCGGATCAGGTCAGCCACCAGGCATGGACAGCAGACTATCAGCTGTTGCAGATCTTCTTCCCCCAGCAGATCTTCTTCCCCCAACACCACGCTCTTCCTCTGCCGCACCAGCCACAGCTTGAGCTGTGGCACCAGTGACGTCATGCCGTGCTGCTCCGCCCAGAGAAGATCCGAAAGCACCGACTGGGGGGTGACCACCGCCAGCAGCCACTTCTGCAGCTGCCCCACACAATCTTGTGGCATCAAAAGCCGATCCGCGAGAAGTACGGCAGTCCGTAGCAGCTCATCTGGCATGTACAGCTCCCCCGTGTACATGTAGGCCAGCAGCCACTGGAATGCAGCCGGGTCGGCATCGGGCAACTTAACATCCTCAGCACCACTGTCGGTGAAGCCACCTCCCGGCACCAGCAGCTTCTCGAAGTACTGGCTGTGACTCACAAGGGCCGAACGATGTGCCACGAAGACAGTGCCATCACGTGTGTGAATATTGACGGTGGCTGGGTTTACATCCGCCCCTGCTACACACAGAAGGAGTGTCTGGTGCAGTTTCGAGAGGGCGGCAGATGGCCTTTGCCTAGGCATGGAGTGGCTAGCCTTGATGCCGCCTGACGTGGGGCTGCTGGGCCCCAGCTGGGGCCCTCGGACAATCCTTAGTAGGGAGTAGCTGGAGCCCTTAACGCCCATAGCCAGCTCGCCACTGGGCAAGGCAGCAATAGAGCACTGGTCTGTTGGGAGCCCGGTAAGTGCCGTATTGACGTAGCCACTAGCACTCATGATGCGGAACTTGTCATGATCTAGGATGTACAGCTGCTGGTGTACGCCAGCCAGGATAGCAATGATGTGAGTAAAGCGTGCGATAGTTCCCGGACCATCTGTGTTGCCGGTCGCCTGCCAGTCGCCAGCTACAAGGTTCACCTTCGCTTTAAGCTCACCGGCAGCTGTGCTCATTGGGGTGGTACACTCTTCTCCGTTGGCATCAGACACATGCGCCGACGCAGCAGTTGTAGTCAAGGTGATTAGATCAATGCGGCAGATCGCACTGGCCATCGCGGCAAACAGCACATCGGCATCATCATCATGGGACAGCCCAGTCCACGTGTAGCCGGTTGGCGGTGCGGAGCCCGGCAGGGTTGTCACCTGGCCGCTTAGGAGGTCCACTTTGCGGATGCGCTCGGCTTCCGCGATGTACACACTGCCCTTGCCGTCGGGTGCCAGGGCGGTTATGGTCGAAAAGCGTGCCTCCCCCCGGTACCCATCACCACTGCAATCGGTCTCCTGCTCCGTGTATCTGCAGAGGCGGCGGAGGATTATAACATAACAATGCATTCCTCGTTAGCACAGCATCCTCTGGAAATTGATGGGCATGTGTGTGCAGATAGATACTCCTGGCATGTGAGCATGCGGAAATTGCTGAGGGGAAGACAAACTGGGCCGTGATCAGTTATGCCTACGTCAGTGATGTATCGTCATGGTGCCCGCTGGAGGTTCCCCCAGTGACCAGGACCAGCAGGTACTCACGGGTCCCACGGGTCCAAAAATCCACGCGCTAGCATGTTGCCTGCGACCAGATCCACCACGTTGTTGCTGTCCAGTGAGCACACCGCCTGCCCCTTCACGAACAGCACGCAATCGGAGGTGGGCTCGTAGACCGGGTAGCGCACGTCGGTCAATTCCATAGAAAGCTTAACATCGGAGCTCGAAGTGTATCGCCAACCACTACCCCCACCCCTGCTGCCGCTGCTTTCAGGACTGCAGTGCTGCAGCTCATGAACCCCCCTGTCATCGAACACGAGTGTCTGTGTCTGGGTCGCCGAGGTGCTGCTGGGCCGTACCACTGCTCCAGCCCACTGAATGTTATCATAATTCCTAGAGGATGGGTGGGCTACCATACTCGACACGGCATACATTCGAACTTATCCGTTGCTACAGCAGGCCAGCCAACAGGTCTCGGTGCCGCTAGCGGCAATACATCAATCTCAGATAAAAATATTCCCCAGGGAGAACAGCAACTGTACCAGCTCCTCAGGAAATTCAGACAGATAAGTACCAATGGTCAATTTAGGAGATGCCGCATTCAATACTTTAAGGTTGCGGATCTCAAACCGCAATGACTAAAACCACTTCCTTGTACCTCATGCGTCCTAGTATGCTGACGGGACCTATGATGTTGTCCAACGTTAGGCAGTATTGGAGACGGCGATCTGCAATCGATGCGAGGCAAGCTGAGACGAGGCAAGACGAGGCAAGACGAGGCAAGACGAGGCAAGACGAGGCGAACCGAGTACCATAGTGCCAGTATTAAGATTGGTGACAGAAATTTTGGCGACGGCATTTAAAGACTACTGAAATTTCTGATGATTCTTGCAATTGGTGATGGCCCGGAGATCGCATTTCCAACTGTGTGACGAATATTGGCGACGCCCGCATGATGAGCCGCTTGTACCGTTCGCTTTTGGCCTTGCCTGATCACCATATTCACTGCCCAAAAATTCGGCCTGTGAAGGTTGTTCCGATTCATAGGCAGACGCAAGGGCCCAGGGGCCTAAGGACCTTAACCCTAAGTACGGCCAAGACCCGACATGTCGTACATACCCGACTCTTGGCATGTACCCGCACCTTTCCACCACCCCACACCATACACAGTCGGGGGCTATATTCACCAGGAGCATCGCCATATTCTGTAAGATGTTGAAACCCCCAG